CCATTAACAATACTCAAGGTACTTCTACGTGCATTCTTATACTCCATTACTTCCATTACTATTACCCTTGAATTATAATAGTGCTTCACCTACCCATTGTTTTTGTTACTACTGTACAAGATAAGACTTAGGTGTTATAGCAGCTTAGTATACATTAAGATTTGTTTGGACTATCCTGTCACTCTATCCTATTTGAATATTAGCGCTGGTACACCCCCTTTTCTCACATATTGGGGTGTTGTTTGGCAGTGACACATAACACGATCTGTTAATTCATGCCTAAAGTACAATGTGTGTGAAAAAAACACCAAACAAATTACTACCTAAAAGTTTGACAAAGTCTGGTGGTAGAATTAGTGCATGGAAAGTGTTAAAATACCACCTTTTGAAATACCCTAGGGTGGCTACTTTCCAAAAATATATGGTGGGGGTAAAATACATTGGCCGGCCTTACAAATGTCCCAAATAGGACATATCCATTGAAAAATGGATATGCGCACCTGCCAAATGTGGCCTTTTAGCCCCCCAAAAACCCGAAAAGCCTATGCATGGGTGGTATCACTGTACTCGGAAGATGTTGCTGAACACATATTGGCGTGTTGTTTGGCAATGTCACATAACAGGATCTGTTAATTCATGCCTAAAATACAATGTGTGTGAAAAAAACACCAAAAACATTACTACCTAAAAGTCTGACAAAGTCTGGTGGTAGAATTAGTGCATGGAAAGTGTTAAAATACCACCATTCGAAATACCCTAGGGTGTCTACTTTCCAAAAATATATGGTTTGGTGGGGGTAAAATACATTGGTTGGCCTTACAAATGTCCCTAATAGGACATGTGCGCAGGTTGACTGCATGTCAAAATTCCAAGTTGGAAAATGGATATGCGCACCTGCCAAATGTGGCCTTTTAGCCCCCAAACAACTCGACAAGCCTATGCATGGGTGGTATCACTGTACTCGGGAGATGTTGCTGAACATATATTAGTGTGTTTTTTGGCAGCAACACATAACAGGATCTGTGAGTTTATACCTGAATTGCAATGTATGTGAAAAAAAAAATTACCTATGCGAAGTTTGGCAAAGACTGGTGGTAAAATGGCTGCATAGAAAGTGTCAAAATATCCTTAGATGAATACCCTGGGTTGTCTACTTTAAAAAAAATATATACATGTGGGGTGTTTTCCAGAGATTTATGACAGATAATAGTGTTACAATGTCACTATTGATACATTTTAAAAATGTATGTTTTTGTATGTATGTTCAATATCCTACTTGTACTTATAGCCCTATAACTTGCAAAAAAAAAAGCAAAAAGCATGTAAACACCAGGTATTTTTAAACTCAGGACAAAATTTCAAATCTATTTAGCAGTTTGTTTCATTAGCTTTTGTAGATGAGTAAAATATTTTTCAAATAAAAGTCAAAAAACATGTATTTTTTTCAATTTTGCATCATATTTTTTTTTATTTTTTTATAAATTAAATTACATGAGTATGTAAAGAGAGCCCTTTTTGTCCTGAAGAAAACAATATGTAATTTGTATGGGAACAGTAAATTAGAGAGCGGAAAATTACAGCTAAACACAAACACCACAAAAGTGTAAAAAGAGGCCTGGTTGCAAATGTACAACATCGCAAAAACAGTCCAGTCCTTAAGGGGTTAAAGTGCAAGCACCATGCAGTATTAGTACTTTTCTTTTTTTATAGACACATCCCCCACTAAAGTTGGATCCATTCTATTTGGTGTTTGAAGACATCTTCTAATATTGATGGCTCTGTTCTTCAACACCTTTGTGTGATATGCATACATATTGATTTATTGGTATCCAAGAGTACTGCACTATCATTGTTATACAAGTTTCTCCCTAGAATTGGCTGCATCCTCATGTATGTTCTATTTGTACTGGCTGTTTATGTGGATTAGGAGAAGTTCATGACGAAGCCATCCATATTGTAAAGTATGACTTTTTTATTTCTCATGGCGTTGTGTGTACTGATTTAGTTTGTTCACATATTATATATATATTTCAAGTAACTGTAATCAATGCACTGCACTTTATCTCAGTCCTCGTGACACCAGGTGACAGAGTTGATAAGTCAAGAAATCAGTAGGACTAAGGGAAAATCCTGTGTGACTTAACTGTGCCATGTGACATGGAATACTTGTGACACAAAAATCAACAAGTTTTTTGAAGTAACGATTGTTCATTGTTTGTCAATGTATCCAGTTATTGGTTTTTTGTACCTCTTTTAAGCAAGCTTACAACTACCCAGTCGTACTCTCACTATTCTTAAAGCACACATAAATAAATATAAAATACATCTTTAGCACTTTTGTTAAAAATAATAATATATATATACATGCTTTCAGTTATTGCTGTCATTATCACTGTATCTGTTTGATGGACTGTTGATTCTAATCTATATTCTGCCTGAAGCATATGACTCAGGACAAGGGATAGGATGTGTGACAGATCACCCTGTCCATGAATTATTGTGTTATATTGAATGGTCCAGTAGACAAACATCACCAAACAGGTTGCCCAATTTGGTTTGTATACCGAACAAAGTACCGAACAGATAGACCACCCAGAACAGTCGTTTACCGCTCATTGACCTGCTTGACTTCATTCGCACCTTCACAAACCGCAATTACCCAAACATTGCAGCGGTTGGCTAGGTGGCTGACGTTCATATGGACGAACACGAGGCGGCGGCCATCTTGTTCTTGCGAATGCCTACAGCGGTGTTTGGTCATCGAGTGTATAGAACTGCTGAGATTTCCACCTCCACAGGTGTTTGACTCCATTCGTGTGAGAATAGCAGCGTTCGGTGGGAGCAAACTCCTGAACAATGGGCACACGACCAGTGTACGCACGAACAGTTATCTTTGTTATTTTATTATGTTTTGAACTCCCAAAAGTGACCAACCTATTCCGCCTGAATTCATGGAACTCTTTTCGGCAGGCGCATCGTGTGCGGTCGGTCTAAACTATATTCCGGTGGTGTTTCGGCTGTGTTTGTGAGATCTGAGCGCTTTTTGGATATATTGGGCGCTCAGATCCAGGCTATCCAGGGATATAGAACTTGAGGGGGTACCTAATTGTTAAGTATATATTTTGGGGTGTTTTTGTTATGTATGTCTGGACCTGAGAGTTAATGTAATTATGTATGTACTTTTATTGTAGTCCCCTCTCAGGTCCAGTGGGGAATGCCCCTGGAATATGTAATGAAAAATCCCTTTGCATGGGGACATGCATATAAGGCCAGTTGTGGCTGCCAATAAATCAGTTCAACTTCACCCTCAACACAGAGCCTTGTCTCGTGATTGTAGGGAACAGCTATACCTGCTTTATTGTCACTTGGATTACTGCTTGGGAATACACCAGCATTACTTGTACTAGGGGGAAAGGACATCTCTGGGGGCAGAAACCCCTCTTCTCTCGGGGTGGCCGTCACAGGATGGGCTACTTGGGGGCATGATGTGACTCAACAAGGAATGGACTTGCCTTAAAAAAGGTACTAGAAAATGGTCTTTGTTAGCCTGACACACCTGCCAAGCTGACAGAGAGCTGCATGCATCATCCCCACTCAGTGTGCTTTCTTGCAGTGTCGAATGCCCTTAGTTAATTTTGCAAATCTCAAATATATCTAATGATCTACTCATACTGCATACCTTCAAACATTGGTAAATATGGAATTGGGACAGATGGGCGGTTTTCAGTGGTGCATGATACTCTTTTTTTGTTTTAATTGCTCCTGCTACTCTCCCTTTTAAAAAAAAAAGTCATTTCTTATAGTGGTTTCACCTTGCCTGGCTGAGTCCTGCATCTTGTGTGACTAAGCCTACCACCTCCACAGACGTAGTTAGTGTAAGCTGATAGGGCACTGTTGTTTTTTCCACACTGAAGGGAGGTCATCAATGCTACAGATTGGATGTGTGTAAAAACTTTGTTTTTCTAAAGGGGGGAAAGGGTTTTTAAAGGGAAACTATAGGCTCTTGATTCCTAACCATGTATCTCCCTATAGTGCCATCCTCACTTGCACGATCCATTCTCCCCACAGCACAGAACCTTTTTGTCACTCACCTGAATCCAGTGCCGATATCTCTTGGCACTAGGTCAAGCTCGACCTTGGTTGATATTGGGGACCTAAAGCATGTTAGGACAACCCCAAAGGAAAGCATTGTATAATGCTTTCCTGTGGCATTTTGGGCAGGGTAACCAGACCCACCATGTTTACTGGGACACATATAAGTTTCTCATATTTATTAAAATGCATTAAAAGGGCTGCCTAGCTGCAGGATTCTTCATTGCCAAATTGCTTAATCAAATACACCTTCTTCTGAATTCTGCATACTACTGGGTTATCCTTTTCATGTGCTGCCCATCAATATGTATATGTGATTTATCTCCCAGAAAGCAGGGTGGATCTGCTCACCCAGGTTTTCAGGTAATGCTGGATGTCCTCATGGATAACGTGAGGACGTTCAGCGTCAGTTAGGTGAGTAAAAGTCGTCTAATGACCCAAAGTCCCTCTAGTGGCTCTCTAACCCTGGATACTAATTATTGCAGTTTCTCAATAACTGCAATAATTACTATTACATGGTTAAACTGACAGGGGCACTGCACCCAGATCACTTCAGCTGAAGTGGTCTGGGTGCCTATAATGTCCCTTTAAATGCCCACTCACATTTTCCTTTCATTTTGTTTTAAAAATCTTCTTTTTTTTCCGATGCTGCTTCTGTTTCCCAATTTTTATTAATACAAGATTGCAACATAAGAACTAGAAATTAAACATGAAAAACATAAAAATTAGAATTAGAAAGTTCTTTCACTTATTTTTTTTTTAAATACAGATATAATAAAATAATTTTGAAAACTCAGAATTGGCATGACTGATATTGCATAACCAGTATTTATTTATTTATTTATAACATATTTTACCAAGAAGCATACATTGAGATTTATCTTGTTTTAAAGTATGTTTTGGGTCCGCAAAACATTGCATTGTTACAATAGGGTACAATATTTAAAAAAATAAAATAAAAAAATACAATATATATAAAACAATATATATATATGCATACACACATATATAAATTTAACACACAATAGGTAATACATATATTCAACCATGACAGGTGCATTCTGTATTGAGGTATATTGTCAGAGATCGCTTAAAAGATTTTAGATTTAATAAAGATATGACTGGGTTCGTGAGGTTATTCCATAATTGCGATGCTCTGTAGGAAAATGAGGATCGAGCCACTTTTTGTTTGTATTACAGTATGCTAAATATCGTGCCAGTACTGGATCGGAGGTTATAGGAGGTGGAAATAGCTGGGGAGAGCATTCTACTTTTCCCAGAAAAGCTCTAATGCACAAGGCTGGAAAAATGAAGAGTGTGTCAGAATTCCAGTGATAGCCATTTTAGCTCTTTTAACATCAAGTAATAAGATTCTAGTACAAAGTGACAGAACAAATTACATAACGTATTAAGTTTATGAAGGTGGGTTTGTGATGCAGGCGCATACATTACATCCTTATAACCAATGACCAGCATTAGCATCTGTTGCACTATCTGTTTCATTACTCTAGGGCTTAGGCTGGGATTTGTTTCTGTACAGTGGAGTATATCACCTAAGCAATTCAAAATAAAAATCACTCTAAAGGGTGAAAAAGCTAATATAAGAGTTACAATTAGAGGTTGTAACCAAGCAATGGAAAAGAGATATCAAGAGCTTAAAAATGGCCAAGAAAACATTTTAATTATTAGCCAAAATCAAACCATTAAAAAAAAGTATAGCCAAATGTCAAAAAAGTCAGTCACGCTTAATTGAGAAACGTTTCATATAAAAAATATAATAAGGTTTAGAGCAGCAAATGACCCATATAAAATATTGAAAAAATATCTTTATAAACAAGAGAAAAGCTATCCTTTTCAATATGCATGGTTCACGGAAAACAAGCATTCACAGTCATTAACCTCCCCAATACAATGTACACATAAAATAGTTAAAACAAAAAATTCCCTAATTAAGGAAATATATTCAAGTAAAATAAGAGAAAAACAAAACAAAAATACTCAATAACACAATCAAGTAAAAAACAAGGGAAATACAAAATATTCCATAAACAATGTTTAATGATGTAGTTAAAGGACCACTATAGTGCCAGGAAAACATACTCGTTTTCCTGGCACTATAGTGCCCTGAGGGTGCCCCCACCCTCAGGGACCCCCTCCCGCCCTGCTCTGGAAGGGGGAAAGGGTTAAAAACTTACCTTTTTCCAGTGCTGGGCGGAGAGCTCTCCTCCTTCTCTCCTCCTCCGTTCCTCCTCCTGGGCTGAATGCGCACGCGCGGCAAGAGCTGCGCGCGCATTCAGCCCGTCGCATAGGAAAGCATTTACAATGCTTTCCTATGGACGCTTGCGTGCTCTCACTGTAAAAATCACAGTGAGAAGCACGCAAGCGCCTCTAGTGGCTGTCAATGAGACAGCCACTAGAGGAAACAGGGGGAAGGCTTAACCCATTCATAAACATAGCAGTTTCTCTGAAACTGCTATGTTTATGAAAAAATGGGTTAACCCTAGAAGGACCTGGCACCCAGACCACCTCATTAAGCTGAAGTGGTCTGGGTGCCTAGAGTGGTCCTTTAACACATAATTCTTTGTTGGCACACTTTCTGTATTCCACGACTGGATATAGTCACTTCTCAATGCCGTGAAAGATAAATTGGCTAACATCACCTATATTTTATTTGTATAAGATGCAATTGTTAAAATTTAGGCAATTTTGAGATGCATAGAAAGAGGGAAGCAGCGTCCTAAAAGGATCCCTAAAATACAAATAGGAAAAATTAATATGCAAATGAGAGGACAAAAAAATTAAATAGGGTGTAGTATTTTCAGAGGGTTGGTGAGATAAATAAAAGCTTCAAATATATGCTTTCGGGCGGTATAATCACTGCCTATATCTTAATCTTGTGGAATATCTTGATCTTGCATGCGGGAGTCTTTACAGTTGATAGCTCAAGGTATTCAGGATTTATACTTGCAAGTGCACAGAAGTAACGCAGCAAAGGGTCACCAGGATATTCACTATATATAAAAAAAATATATATATATATATATATATATATACACTGCTCAAAAAAACAAAGGGAACACAAAAATAACACATCCTAGATCTGTATGAATTAAATATTCTTCTGAAATACTTTGTTCTTTACATAGTTGAATATGTTGACAACAAAATCACACAAAAATAAAAAAATGGAAATCAAATTTTTCAACACATGGAGGTGTGGATTTTGAGTCACACTCAAAATTAAAGTGGAAAAACACACTACAGGCTGATCCAACTTTGATGTAATGTCCTTAAAACAAGTCAAAATGAGGCTCAGTAGTATGTGTGGCCTCCACGTGCCTGTATGACCTCCCTACAACACCTGATGAGGTGGCGGATGGTCTCCTGAGGGATCTCCTCCCAGACCTGGACTGAAGTATCTGCCAACTCCTGGACAGTCTGTGGTGCAACGTGACGTTGGTGGGTGGAGCGAGACATGATGTCCCAGATGTGCTCAATTGGATTCAGGTCTGGGAAACGGGCAGGGCCAGTCCATAGCATTAATGCCTTCATCTTGCAGGAATGCTGACACTCTAGCCACATGAGGTCTAGCATTGTCTTGCATTAGGAGGAACCCAAGGCCAACCGCACCAGCATATGGTCTCACAAGGGGTCTGAGGATCTCATCTCGGTACCTAATGGCAGTCAGGCTACCTCTGGCGAGCACATGGAGGGCTGTGCGGCCCCCCAAAGAAATGCCACCCCACACCATTACTGACCCAGTGCCAAACCGGTCATGATATATATATATATATATATAAATATATGCTCTCTGTTGTAAAATAAATATAGGCGATAAAAGAAGATATACTCACAAAAATGGGTTTTGCTCAATCCATACATCTTAGGTGGCATGTTCCCCACAAAAGAATATGACGTCAGGATCTTCTGAATAAAATCTTAAATCTTAAAGGTTAAAAAAATAACTACATTTATTGAAAATAAAGTTTAAAACCACTAATGGTTTTGGCAAGGCCAAGTTTCATGACTCAGAGGCTTCATTATGCTAAAATAAAACCTAAATAAGGCTTGATTTACTAACCTGTGTATGTTTTTAAACTGCTCTACTATTACGCATATTGCTATCTCTTGCATTGGACTGCTACATGCCATTGTCTGCTGCCTATTCCAGCCTTGATTTAATGTTCTTTTAAATGGTTTAATATTTTTGGATACACTTTTAAAATTATTTTTTCAAAATATCACATTATCAAAAAAAATATTATAGATATATAAAAAAAATCAATATATCCAAAATATAAACATATATTACATCATTTTAAAAATGCATTCAATAATATTAAATTATTTGAAAAGCTTATCCAAGATTATTAAACCAGGGACCATGTTGGATATGAGAAATTACATCACTGTGGTTGTGGTCACATGAGCCCTTCATCATTTACCCAGGATTTTTGTATTATGTGCAGCTATGCAAGAGAAAGATGCCAGAACCCTACACACATTTTTTTTTAACCTAGTTTTATTGCAAAAGACATAGTGTGTACTTCATAACTCACTTTTTTATCTTGTTATTAATAAATTCTTTGTAATTGGAATACACTTTCTCCTGGTCGGGTTTTTTTGATGCTTACTCTATTCCACCAACCTACTCACCAATGCTTGACTGTGCTGTATTTTTTGATGTACAGATTTCTGTTATTGTACATGCCTAATTTACCCCTCAAACAAGGTTGCTAGCCCTCTTCTTCAATAGAGGCATGTACTGTGTGCCTGCCTGGATGTTCTCTTCTTCTAACAAAGACTGCTTGGCTTCCAGAAGAAGGTTCCACTAATTATTTTAGTGGTTGATTTGTACATGTAGATGGCAAATTATTAGATTTTTTTTTTTTTTTTGAAGAAAGGGATGTCACAAAAGCGGCAGGCTTATGGCGCAGAGTTCTGGAAAATATTGTATTTATTTAAAAGCTTTAAGCAGTAGAAATATAACTTATTAATTAAGACAAAGTATATCAAATACATTACATTACGTTTATGTTTGTCAATATGACTGTTATTATGAACAGAAATTTAAACAAGTTTATGAGATCAGATTAAAGTGACACTCCAGACACAAAGCATGAACAGCCATCATTACATATTTTCTGAAGATTATTTCCCCATCATGGAAAAAAAAAACAATGTCTTCTCTCATGGTATAGTTATCTAAACCATTTCTCAATGCTTGGTCTGGTCCTATATACAGGAGCCGCTTCTAATGCCTTACAGACTTTGCAGTAAATGTGTTCCCAATCGAACTGTCCGGATGATTGATACATAGCCCTCCAGTTGAAATATTGTTGATATTTTTCATCATCCTTGTCTAACTCCAAGAGATAAGCAGCCAGTTCCTGAGCACTAGGGAAGTCATCTACATGAATGAAAGAGTGTGAAGGAATAAAACGTTCATAATTTTTACGTGATGGACCCATAACAATTGGAACTGTTCCAGATGTGAGTGCATTGTACCAGAGCTTCTCTGTGATATAGTCTTCATGGGCAGAGTTTTCAAAGGACAAGTAAAATTTGTATTTGGACAAAGTGTCTACCTGAATATCACTTGATAATGGAAGATGGTGCTTTCCATAAATGTCAATAGTTACGTAATGTTTAAGTTCCTTATAATATTGAATTCTCTTTGAAGTGGGGTACCAGTTACTGACTATCCAGGCAACAAGGTTGGTCTTTGTAGGGATGGTGAAGTTCTGATCTGATTTCTTATTCTCTAGGTAGCCATATGGTGTGAAAATATCAGAATCTGCTCTGTAAGACATGGTGAGATTAAATTTATTTTCCATGAAGTGTAGATTTCTGGTATGTGATGGAGATTCCATGTTAAACCAAATCCAGTATTGGTAGATAGGTCGAGGGCTTTGAGGTAACTGCCTTTTTGTTCTACTTACATCTTTGTGGTGGAAAATAACTGCATTTGCTATGGAATATAATTCTCTGTTATCAGTAAAAAAGCATCCAGATGGATCAAAGTGAGGAGGACATTTATTGAGTTGAAATTTCTGACCAAATGGGAAAGTCCAAAGAAGAATGACTTTAGCGTGTTCAAACTGGGTTTTATCTAGTTGATTAGATATCCATTCTTTCTGAGTGTTGCTCATTTGATAGACTGTTACCAATAACACAGCCAAACATATTTGTATAAAAATAACCAGAGCAATATTCTTCCTAGAGAGTTTTTGTCCTGAAAATGCCATCATGCAATCCTAGTCTGTTTCTTCAATATAAACGGCAAAGTAGTTTAGGGTATTTTTGCTTTTTGCAGTATTTTCAGATACGTTCTTGGACGCTTTCATACCTTTTGCCAAAACAAATAGATAACATTGATATGATTGCATTATTGTATGCAGTATGTAGTAACATAGTAACATCTATATATCTATGTGTCTGTCTGTCTGTCTGTCTGTCTTTGTTTAAGAATACATTACATGAATGGTGGTTTATAATCACATACTGCACAGCTACTGATGTCATCCCTGCAATTATTGCCACATTGAAAGGAAAGTAATGCACAAATCATCTTTGTGTAAACCATAGGCCATAATCTCAGGCAGAATTGAGACATACATGTTCCAGCCTGCTGAGATTAGAGTGAGTTACACTCCTGAGGGCAACCTGCTGTAATTAAAATTAAAAAAGCAGGGGGGGTGTTAAAATATCAAAATCATGAGACTGCAACTCCCATCAATATCTCAATATCAGGCAGCACTCACAGACAGACAGACAGACAGATCTACATGTTACTTTAATGAGCAATTAGATTTGCAAAAATTATAATGCACAGAGATGATGTCCTCCCCAGTGAATTATGAGCTTTTAGCATTGTCAGAGAAGCTATTCAATTCCCTGTGTGCTGGTGGCAAGAATCAGCTTTGCTTTATGTTGTCTTGTCATGAAATTATGTATTTGATGGCTAAGATTAGAAACTACATCTCCCCTAGCAGTCTCATATTTAGCACAGCAGCTAAAGACCCCAGGGGAATTTTAGAGGGTCCAGTTTGGCTTGAACAGAAAGAGATACAGAGACCGAATCACTACACTTATTTTACAAATCAAAGACTATATTTAATATCTTTGCATAAGCTTTGCAAATGATTTTTCAAAAATATTAAAATATAAAAAATATATCATATATAAAAAAAAAAATATCAAAATATTAAATAATTAGAAAATCTTATCCTCTTATCCAAAAATTATAACTTGAGACCCAGGTCACCAAAACCTATACCTTATGTAGAATTTGGGTCCCTGTTAAAAAACACTGGTTTAGTACATTAATTGAGTTTGTTGCCAAAAGGATACATTGATAGATGACCATACAGTAGATGATGCCTGTCCCATAATTTTCTGACATATGTCTGATGCATGTTTCATGCATACAAATAATTATAGCACAACAAAATATTGCTAGTTATCAGTTATTCCGATAAGCAGTCTGGATTCTCCAAAGTTTGGGGCGGCCCGATGGAGTGTTCTCCATAACAGACTACATGTCCCAAGCTGCCATTTTGGTAACACGTCTTTTTCACTTTTTCAATCTGTTGCAGATCAGTTTTACCAGCACCAAGTGATGCAGTGCTTCTCCAGAGCCAACCTTTATAGATTTCCTGGGCTGCCGTTACAACTCTTTGAGTCCCTTATAACCCCAATGGCCAGACCCCCAAAACACACACACCCCTAAACACAGATACCATGCTCACAGGTACAATAATGGTTACATAGACATAAACACACACACATAAAATTGATACACACTGACAAACACACCCAAAGATAATGACTGCCAGAAATACTGTTTCAGATACACACAGACAACACACTCTCTCTAGCAGTACCGGACTGGGAACTAAAAGCAGCCCTGGAAAAAATTCTATATCAGCCCAACAATGCGCCGCGCCAGCACAGGCGAAAATGCATCACCCCCAAACACACACAAAAAAATGCATCTTCTCTTGTGTTTATCTTAACCCCCTTTTGAATGTGTTGCTGTTTTCTTGTGTTTGTTATTCCCTCTTGATTTTTTTTTAACTCGTTTAGTGTATCTTGTCTCCAATTTTTCTCCTTTGTGTCTCTTACAACCCCCCTTATGTGTCTTTCAACTTGTGTATCTTTTACTTCACCCCAGCCTGTGTGTCTCTTTTTACCCTTCTCCAGCCCTCTGTATGTCTCTTCCCCCATCGCCTTGTGTGTGTGTCTATGTCCCCCCCAGCAAACCTTCTGTGTGTCTCTTTGTCTCCCCCAGTACCTCTGTGTGCATCTTTTTCCCCCAACCCAGCTTTGTCCCCCACAAACCTTTTGTGTTTCACTTTGTCCCCCACAAACCTTTTGTATGTCTCTTTGTCCCCCAGCAAACCTTCTGTGTGTCTCTTTGCCTCCCCCCAGTCCCTTTGTCCCTTTCTCTTCCTCCTCTGTCTCTTTCTCCCCCTCCACCTGTCTCTCTCGTCCTCCTCTGTCTTTCTCCCCCTCTGTCTCTTTTTCCCTCCTCCCCATCTCTCTTTCTTCCTCCTCTGTCTCTTTATCTCCCTTCCTCCTGTGTCTCTCTCCCCCCTCTTTCTCCCCATCTCCCCCTCTGTCTCTCTCTTCTCCCTCTTTCTCCCCCACTATCCCTCTGTCTCCCTCTCCCTCCTCTGTCTCTTTCTTCCCTCCTCTTTCTTTCTTCCTCCTCTGTCTCTTTCTCTCCCTTCCTCCTGTGTCTCTCTCTCTTCCCCCTCTTTCTTCCCCTCCCCTGTGTCTCTCTCTTCCCCCTCTTTCTCTCCTACTACCCCTCTATCTCACTCTCCCGCCTGTGTCTCTCTTCTTCCTCTGTCTCTTTCTCCCCCTCCCACTGTTTCTCTCCTTCACCCACTGAGGCTGACCTTGTCTGAAATCGGATCTGGAACGGCAGGGACAGCGATGTGCTGTTGTCTCTCTCTCTCTCCATCATGCTCCCATGTGGATCCCACAATTTCCTGCATTGACACATCATAGAGTAATCACTACTCTATGATGTGGCTGTGCTGGGAATTGTGGGAACCGCATGGGAGCATTGTAGTTAGCTCCGCCCCCTCCCTCAGTCCTTCAATGCTTACTGACAGCTGCATGGCTGTCAGTATCCGTGAGTGTGCCGCCAGACCGGCACACTCACTACCCGTCCCGGCGGCACCATCATACACTAAAGGGCCGGCCGCAAGGTAACTATTAAACGCGGCTGGCCCCCTCAGAGTGTGCCAATGGACGGGCACACGGCAAAACTTACATGCAGCCAGCGGCCGCCGCTTTGATGCTCAAGCTGTCCACATGGCTCCCTCTATTTAAGAGGGAAGAATTAGAGCTGTGCAGCCCTTAGGTGCCGCGGCCCACCGGGAAATTTCCCGGTATCCCGGTGGGCCAGTCCGGCCCTGCTCTCTAGACACTCACATGAATACACTCACACTGTAAGACAAATACATTCAGAAATATATTTTAATTCACTCTTTTGGTTTCCTACCTCTTGTAGCTGGAGTGTGGCTTAACTGGGGTCCAGAAGGGATCTGTGGTGCCCCAGGTGGAACTTCTTCAGACCTTGGGAGGAAGAGAAAGAGATCAGTCAGCACCTCCCAGTAAGGGTCTCACACAGGAGTTCTACAATGTGGCCTGGTTATGTGAGATACCGTATATACTCGAGTATAAGTCGACCCGAATATAAGCAGAGGCCCCTAATTTTACCACAAAAACCTGGGAAAACTTATTGACTCGAGTATAAGCCTAGGGTGGGAAATGCAGCAGCTACTGGTAAATTTCTAAATAAAATTAGATCCCAATAAAATTACATTAATTGAATATTTATTTACAGTGTGTGTATATAATGAATGCAGTGTGTGTGTTTGTGTTTGTTTGTGTATATAATGAATGCAGTGTGTGTGTATGTAATGCAGTGTGTGTATGTAATGCAGTGTGTGTTTGTGTGAATGAATTGTGTGTGTATATAATGCAGTGTGTGCTTGTGTGAATGCAGTGTGTGTCTATAATGCAGTGTGTGTTTGTGTGAATGCAGTGTGTGTGTGTTTGTGTAGTGTGTGTAAACTGGGTGAGGGGAGGGCATTTTTATTATTTTAATTTTTATATTTTAATATTATTATATTTTAATATTATTATTTTATCTTAATATTATTATTATAATATTATTATTATTTTAATATTATTATATTTTAATATTTGTATTTTTTTTATTTAATAGTTTTTTGTCCCCCCTCCCTGCTTGTTGTCTTGCCAGGGAGGGGGGCTATGTTAAACCCTGTCCAGGGGATGGGCTGTGCAGTGGGGGGGCTGGCAGAGAGCTGTAACTTACCTTTCCTGCAGCTCCTGTCAGCTCCCTTCTCCTCCGTGCAGCTCCCATGTCAACTCAGTTCTGCTTACAGTGTAAGTCTCGCGGTCTGCGTGCCGCGCGGAGCATTGCCACGGTAACCCTTGGCAACGCTCTGACGGCCGCAGGTGTCACGAGACTTACACTGTAAGCAGAACGGAGCTGACAGGGGAGCTGCATGGAGGAGAAGGGAGCTGACAGGAGCTGCAGGAAATGTAAGTTACAGCTCTCTGCCAGCCCCCAACAGGACCGCCGGGCTTGCAATGAGCCCGGCGGTCCTGGTCTGTATTATGGCAATGTATGTTGCTATAATACAGACATTGACTCGAGTATAAGCCGAGTGGGGATTTTTCAGCACAAAAAATGTGCCGAAAAACTCAGCTTATACTCGAGTATATACGGTAGTTATATCTCCTCAACTGGACCGTATATCTTTACAAGGCCCACTGCAGAACCTAGGATTTTTTTTTGTTATTCTGTCTCTCACTGTTAAAATACACCTACCATTAAAATTATAGACTGATCATTTCTTTGTCAGTGGACAAACGTTCAAAATCAGCAGGGAATCAAATACTTTTTTCCCTCACTGTACACACACAAACTTATAAATATTGACAGCAATAGCGGGCAGCCCACGCACATTCCCAACTCCTCTTGCTCTCCACTGTAATGCTGGGAAGAAGTTCTCTGATGTCATATCCTCACAGGCTTGCTATAGAGTAAAGGGGACCCGGCAATGTTCCCAAGTAGGGGTCCCACTCTTCAGGATATCTTGTTGACTCCCTGACTTGAGAGGGCCCCTTACCAGGGTAATGCCTGCACCCACCTAAGTGGGCCCCTTAACAGGGTAATGCCTGTACCCCCATGAGTAGGCCCCTTACTGTGGTAATGTCTGTACTACCCTTAGTGGGCCCCATACCGTGGTAATGCCTTTACCTCCTGAGTGGGCACCTTACTGTGGTAATGCCTGTACCCCCTGAGTGGGCGCCTTACCCTGCTAATGCCTTTACCTCCCTGAGTGGGCCCCTTACTGTGGTAATGCCTGTACCCCCCTGAGTGGGCCCCATATTGTGGTAATGCATCTACATCCTGAGTGGGCCCCTTACCGTGGTAATGCCTGTACCCCCCTGAGTGGGCCCCTTACCGTGGTAATGCCTTTACCTCCCTGAGTGGGCCCAGTATCGGTAATGCCTGTACCCCCCTGAGTGGGCCCCTCACCGTGGTAATGCCTGTACCTGCCTGAGTGGGCCCCTTGCCGTGGTAGTGCCTGTACCTCCCTGAGTGGGCCCCTTATCGTGGTAATACTTTACCCCCCTGAGTGTGCCCCTTACCGGTAATGCCTTTAGCCCCTGAGTGGGCCCCTTACAGGGTAATGCCTGTACCCCCCTGAGTGGGCCCCTTACCGTGGTAATGCTTTTACCTCCCTGAGTGGGCCCCGTACCATTAATGCCTGTACCCCCCTGAGTGGGCCCCTCACCGTGGTAATGCCTGTACCTGCCTGAGTGGGCCCCTTGCCGTGGTAGTGCCTGTACCCCCCTGAGTGGGCCCCTTGCCGTGGTAATGCCTGTACCCCCCTGAGTGGGCCCCTTACCCTGGTAATGCCTGTACCCCCCTGAGTGGGCCCCTTGCCGTGGTAATGCCTGTACCCACCTGAGTGGGCCCCTTGCCGTGGTAATGCCTGTACCCCCCTGAGTGGGCCCCTTGCCGTGGTAATGCCTTTACCTCCCTGAGTGGGCCACGTACCGGTAATGCCTGTACCCCCCTGAGTGGGCCCCTTGCCGTGGTAATGCCTGTACCCCCCTGAGTGGGCCCCTTACCCTGGTAATGCCTGTACCCCCCTGAGTGGGCCCCTTACCCTGGTAATGCCTGTACCCCCCTGAGTGGGCCCCTTGCCGTAATGCCTGTACCCCCCTAAGTGGGCCCCTTACCCTGGTAATGCCTGTACCCCCCTGAGTGGGCCCCTTACCCTGGTAATGCCTGTACCCCCCTGAGTGGGCCCCTTGCCGTGGTAATGCCTGTACCCCCCTGAGTGGGCCCCTTACTGTGGTAATGCCTGTACCCCCCTGGTGATGGTATAGTGCAGGGGCAGTGCCAGGCAATGTGCCAGCCTGACACTAATCTCTGCTGTTTCCTCCTAGTGAGAGGAGCCTGCAGTGAGCCGGGATGTGACATCACACAACTTCCTCTTTCCCATCAGTCCCCACTTACAAGGAGGCTACAACACTCACATGTTTCCTGTGCCACTAACAGTTGTGGTGCAAACATTTCCAGTCACCACTATCTCTCATTACTATGCTACCATCACACTAATCCTTAATTCTAACACCCCCACTCCCATCACTGCATTACTATCTTCACATCATTCTCTACCATTCAAATGCTATCACTCTAATCCCTGTCCCCCCATTACTCTAAATTCATCCCTCTTTTCATGTCCTCTTATTAATCCAACCCATCTCTCCTTATTGTCCTCACACCCAGTACTCCCAGCTATCCCTATGTTTCCATCCTTCCTTATGCTCCAATTATTCCAATCTCTCCCTTGTTTAACCTTCCATCTCTCCAATCCCTCTCGCCATGATACATCAATATACTATGTACATAACTGAGTGTTATTGGTATATTGCTCTGTGACACACCTTAACACAGTAACAGTACTGTTAGCATTGTTAAGGGGAGCTCTGTGATACATTCCTACATTATGCACATTACTGGGGTTTGTTTTTTTGGGGGGGGCGGGAGGGAGGGGGGTTGTTACTGTGGAGCTCTATGATACACTCATACAAACTACACATTACTGTGAGTTTTATTGCTGAGAGCTCTGCGATGCACTCATACACACTACACATTACTGTGAGTTTTATTGCTGAGAACTCTGCGATGCACTCATACACACTACACATTACTGTGTGATAACTCAAGACACACTGCACATTACCGCAAGTTTTATTAAACTGTTTAATTAATTGAAAAAACGTTAGGCGGATTTGTTTCCCTTCCACTTTTCTATTGCTCTGGTATGATTGCCTAAGTCCCTCGATGCTCAAAAATACCTTGCAAATATTGGATTTATGTATGTTTATACTGTATGAGGGGGGTTTATTGAGGAAACTGACCTTGGAACAGCCTGGCCCTGCATATAACAGTTAACAGCTAGAACAAATCCTAATGCATACTACTAAAAAACTAGAGACAATTACAATTAGTATATAGCACCAACATATTCCACAGCGCTGTACAATATGTAAGAAAGAAAAGCACTACACATTACTGACTCCTAACAAAACATAAATGACATACTGGAGCAGTAAGTGAACATTACCATGTCCAAACAAGCTACAAGCCAGAAACAATGCTGTGATGCAGCCAAACACATTTTCTGCTTTGAATTTTAACAAAGTCATTTGCAAAGTTATTGTCACAATTGGGTATTTTGGGAATCTGACCAAAGAATTTAGATTTTCACATAAAAATAGTTTTTAGATGAGAATAACTGAATTGGAGAGGTTTTTCTAGTTTAATTATTTTGACCATAAAGTGCAGTTCCCTGTTAATTTTTCACAAAAGCAGTGATCTCTGTTGGAAACTGTCAAGAAAGGATTTAAAGAGAAGAATTGGAAAAAAAAGTTACATTTCTATAAACCATGAAAATAAGGACTAGTTACTTAAAATATTCTTATTAGAATTATATAAATATAACAGATTTCTTTTTATTTTTTATTAAATTACATGTTGGTAGAACTTAGCTATCATATGATTAACTTTAAAAGGATTTTCAGATCCTACCTGTCTCCACTTTGTTTCTCACTGATTTTTGTTCCAATAGTTCATCAGCAAAACTCACCCTATATACTATTAAGAAACATGGTAATTCAACTATATATACCCTATGACGTAAAATGGTTTACATTTAAGATGAATGCTCAAGATAAGTTCTGTTCAATACCTGTGGGTTTGGCATTTATTAACAGACAGTGTACAAGAAGTCCCTCTTTCCATACACCCATCGTCTGAAAACTAAGACTAAAATAAGATTAATTATATTATATCAGGGTTATTTACTTAAGTGAGAATTCAAAGTGAATTTCATATGTAAAACCATTGTAGCCAAATTGAAAGCAGAGCTGGTCTGCAGAATTCTTTTAGTTTGGCTATCTGCACCACAAATTCACTTTGCATTCTCACGTTAGTGAATAACCCAGATAAACTAGAATTCATGTTTTACCGAAAATTATAATTTGATGAAATTCTATAAAGAAAGCCAAACACGAATACAAATATTGATGATTATATTTATTTCTTAAAAACAGTCCTGAATTAAAAAAAAAAGGTCTCTTTTCCGTTGCTAGATTATTTTTATTTTTAAATTTCACAGCTTTTAACTTTGGAGTATGCATTGGACGCTCTCCTGTTTATTCCTAGTATTGGTTACCTGATCGCCAGACCGTAGGGGAATTTTTAAAGCCTCCTATAACATGTCCATTAAGGTGTAAAATAGAGGGTATAATCTCTCCAACCAAACCCAAATTCCTTAATCTATGTGCTAAAACAAGTTTAGTGATAACTATAGTGTGGGAGGGGGTACTTTAGCCATGGGGTGGGCAACTACCCCGTACACCCTATTGGTTAGACAACTTCCCCCGGTACACTCTACTGGTTAGACAACTACCCCGTACATTCTACTGGTTAGACTTCGTTCTATGTTAATTTGTATATGCACAAAAACAAAAATCCTCTCTTTTCTTACTGTTTTTGTACGAAGTTTAAATGTCATTGTTTTGTCTGAACGATAAGTCTTTAACTTTGTTACTCATGCTTGCATGCTCACAAATAAAGAGAGATATAAATAAAGAATTAAAATTTAAAAAAACAGTCCTGAATAAACTGAACAAAATATAACAACTAAATGGGAAAAAGCGGTGTGATGAGTAGTGCCCTGTTCAAATTAATTTACATTTTGGTGGAAGTGGAATGTTATTACAAAAAGGGTAAAAAGAGATCAACATAAAGAGTATTGATTGATAGGTATAATATCAATGCATAACCCTTTATTTTAAAGCTATCTCAAAGAAATGTAAACAGTAGAGTGTGGAGGAGATATATATTAGAGCTAACAGGTAAAAAACATGAAAAAGGAACTATTGGAAAAAGAGAAATTAATTAAACGGTAAAACGCCAAAAGAAATAGGAAGTCAGCCTTTATTAGTGGTTTCCCACTTCGAACTCTCTTGATAAGATGCTACTCACATTTATTCCCTGGTCTTTTTGGGAGCTCATTAATCCCACTGTAGTGACTTATGATTAAGTGTTAGTGCTGTGTATACCAAATACATTTAAATTCTGGGATTTGGATTCATGAGCATTCATCCTTGATGCGCCTCCGCATTAAACATCCGTGGTTATGATAAAGTCCAAAGTACCGCATAGGATCTTCATTCTATGATTTAATAAGTCACAAGATTTCATTTGTGCGCTGTTCTCTCATGTGTCTAACTAAATAAAACTGGGGAGAGTAAGATTAATTTTATTATTATTTTTGGTATTTATATAGCTCCAACATATTCCGCAGCGCTTTACAATAATATAAAAGGGGGAAATTTAACAATAAATTAGACAATTACAAAAAGTTACAGGAACAATAGATTGATGAGGACCCTGCTTAAACAAGCTTACAATCTAGAGGAGGTGGGATATAAAAACACAACAGGACAGGGAATAACAATCAAACAAGGTGAAAGTGAAGCAATATTGTTATTATTGGTAAGAAGGGTACATTCTAAATGCCGAACATTTTCTTAAAGGGACACTGTAAGCACAGTGTGACAAACCCTCTTTGCCCTGGACGTTTGCCGCAAATTCATGGAGGAGTGTAGAAGCTGGCCTCCTGCCTACCGATTATGGGCCATATACAAAGACCCCGTTCGGAAGTTAAATCTCCCCAACCGCTATTAGTAGCTTGCCCTGGGTGCCCCTGGTTCGGCAGTTTCCTTTCATGCGAATGGAACCAAAAGCTGTCTCTCTAGCGGCCGTTCGCATGAACCGAACCCACGAATAGTCCCAGCAGGGCCGGATTAACATAGGGGCTGATGGAGCTGCAGCTCCAGGCCCAGGTCCATGGAATAGGCCCATTTAAAAAAACCAAAAAAAAAATGACTGGTATTTTACTGGCACAGCCGGTATTTGAGGATGCCTGGCCGTGCTGGTATTGCAGTAATACCGGTAATACAAATGCAGGTCATTTTCTCAGAATAAATGGAAATTATTCTGCAATACCAGCATCGGCCAGTAGGGGTCACTGTGTGTGGAGAGAGGCAAGGATAGGAAGTTACAGAATATCCCTGCCTCTCTCTACTACTCACTGATCTGTGGGGGAGCAGGAACACAGCACAGAGTCCAGACAGCAGCTCTACAGCTCAGGTAAGTGAAGGATGGGGGGAAAGGCAGCAGGGACACATGGGCACACTGAGACACTAGGGGACACATGGGGATACTGAGACACAGACACTAGGGGACACTAAGACACAGACACTGGGAGACCTGGGAACACTGAGACACTTGGGGACACTGGAAAACATGGAGACACTAGGGACACTGAGACACTAGGGGACACATGGGGACACAGACACTAGGGGACACTGAGACACTAGGACACATGGGGACACAGACACTGGGAGACCTGGGGACACTGAGACACTTGGGGACACTGGAAAACATGGGGACAGTGTCCAAATGTTTCAGTGTCCCCATGTCTCCTGGTGTCTGTGTTCCTAGTGTCTCAGTGTGCCTGGTGTCCCCATGTCTCCCAGTGTCCCTATATGTCCCAGTGTCCTCATGTCTATGTCCACAACTGTCCCCATGTCTCCCAGTGTCCCCAAGTGTCTGTCTCCCAGCCAGTGTCCCCTAGTCTCCCAGTGTCCCCTAGTCTCCCAGTGTCTGTGTTCCCATGTCTGTGTCCCTAGTGTCTTAGTGTCCCCAAATGTTTCAGTGTCCCCATGTCTCCCAGTGTCTGTGTCCCTAGTGTCTCAGTGTCCCCATTTCTCCCAGTTTCCCTAAATGTCTCAGTGTCCCCATGTCTCCCAGTGTCCCCATGTCTCTGTGTCCCCGGGTCTCTCAGTGTCCCTGGGTCTGTCATAGAAACATAACATAGAATGTGACGGCAGATAAGAACCATTCGGCCCATCTAGTCTGCCCAATTTTCTAAATACTTTCTTTAGTCCCTAGCCTTATCCTATAGTTAGGATAGCCTTATGCCTATCTCACACATGCTTAAACTCCTTTACTGTGTTAACCAAAAAAAAAAATTATACCAAGTCTCAGTGTCCCCAGTATCCTAGTGACATGGGGACACACTGAGAAATTGGGACACTGGGAGAAATGGGGACACAGACACTGGGAGACTAGGGGACTGGGCGACATGGGGACACTGACACTGTGATACATAGGGACACTGAGACACTGGGTGACTTGCGAGACTGAGACACTGGGAGACAGGGAGACACTGGGAGCAATCCATCTATACAGCAGAATCAAACTGTGAGTAGTTTGTGATTTTACAGAATTTTTTCTGCTGTCACTCTTTGTGATTTACATCATGTGATGTCACACATAACTAATTAATTATACAAATGATTAAGGCTGGTATTTTTTTCCAAGAAAGGTGGCAATCTTAACTACTCTTCACATACTCTTGCTTAAAGGAGCACTATAGGGTCAGTAACACAACATCATCATGTATTCCTGACCCTATTGTGTTAAAACCACCATCTAGCCCCTCTGGCCCCTTTGCCTCCCTAAATATAGTAAAATACTATTTGTATTCAAGTCTGCAGCTGCTGGCTCAGAAGTGGTGGTCTGAGCAAATTACAATACTTCCCCATAGGATTGGCTGAGACTGTCAACTATGCAGATCAGGGGCAGAGCCAGCACAAGTCCAACATAGCCCTGGCCAATCAGCATATCCTCATAAAGATAAATTGAATCAATGCATCTCTATGAGGAAAGTTCAGTATCTGCATGCAGAGTGTGGAGACACTGAATGGCAGTGCTGCACACTAGGCAGTACTGCCTCAAGAAACACCTCTAGCAGCCATTTTAGGAGCAGCCAGTGGAGTTATTTTCTCTGAAAAGACAGTGTTTACTGCAAAAAGCCTGAATGGAATGATTCTACTTACCAGAACAAATACAATAAGCTGTAGTTGTTCTGGTGACTATAGTGTCCCTTTAAGTTTGGAAGATTGATGTATGGGAACAAAACTTGTGTGGACTGGCTGACATTAAAATTAGTTTAGGTAATGCTGACTTTGGTCTCTCTAACATTGTGGCATGTTCCCTTTCTTCTACACTCACTACATACACCTTTTCTCTGTCTCAGACTATATACAATGAACTTCTGCCTGCTAGTAAGAAGGTAAGGAGACAAGTGGACCAGCGAGTGCTAGGGGAAAGTCCTTAGAAAGCATGGAGTGAGTGCATTATTAGACACATTTATGTCAAGCTCAGGGTGCTGCCTGCATAGTATGCCCTTAGTTGGACAGCCTGCAAGATTGGCAGGCAGCCTGACATGCATTCATGCCAGGCTGACCTTCCAATTCTTTGGACAAACATGCCCCCTTTTTGGGCATGTTCACCCCTTTTGTCAGGTCTTGTCACGTGATTCGCGACAGTGGCACACCCTTTTACCCCGCCCATTGACTTCCTGCTTCACTGGACACTGCTGTTAGGGGTTATGGATTTACTTGAAAGATGAAAGCATAAATTAGAGAGAAATTAGCATAGAGTATGTGTTTTCTTATAGCTGCATTCTATGAGTTTCCCTCCAGCACCATCTCCATCAGATACATGACACTTGGGAGGTATGACTGTTTTAGTGTTTTTGGTCGATAAGATT